CTGAGTCTGGCAAGACTGATGTCAGGTTCAGCCCAAAGAGCTCCATGAGACAGGACAGATACAGTTCTGTTGCGTTTATTAGCTTTCACCTTCAAGACAGAATCTCGAATCTAAACTTCCCAAGCCAGCAAGCAACCACTGCAAATTCCTTAGGGTGGTGCCAGTCTCATCCTCTTCACCTTCCCAGGCTCTTTCTGGGGGCTAAGGAAATGCTTATCTCCCCGAGCGCGGCCTTCACCAAACCATTCCATCACAGCTCCAGATGTGTTGGGCACTCAGCGGCTCAATCAGCAGGGCCCCAGCTCGCTGGGAATGAAGGGGACTGTAGTCCAATAAGATCTGAAGACCACCAAAATGGGGGCTGCTGCCTTTGGGCGGTGTCCTAGTTCAATTGTTGGATAAAACACTTTGAGACGTCTTCTGGGCATGGAGAGTGTCCCGAGGCGGCTCTGCTCGGTGGATGCTGAAAGTGACAAGAGAATTGTGGGTGGCAAGCTAGATGGGTTATGAGAAAGGAGAGAAGGAGTGGAGGCAAAATTCTGCCTGGGCTTGAGCAAGGACCCACACCTGCTAAGCCGCAACCATGGGGGAAGGTGGATAAAGGCACTGATTTGAAGTGGCAAACAGGTTGCTGGAGACTTAACTTTTTCCTCCCTTCTGGTTAGAGCGGTATTTCTCAACCTCAGCAACTTTAAGATGTCTAAATTTCAAGTCCTGGAATTCCCCAGCCAGCCTGTGTGGACTTCAGGCCCAGAATTCCCCAGGCAGCATTTGTGGACTTCAACTCCCAGAATTCCCTAGCCAGCATGTAACTCAGGACTGAGTGGGCCCTGAATCGATATGAATATTCAAGACACTGCCTTTGCTGGACTTTTGGTGTGAAACAGAAAAAAAAATGAAATTATGGATTTGATTATTAGAAATAATACTGGACAATAGAAAAAATGAAGGTCATGTTGTAAACGTAAAGTAAGAGTCTAGTGTAAATGGATACTTATACTATATCTGTTTTTCTTCTTTCTTTTTGCACTTTTGACTTTGCTCTTTCTTTTCTTCTTCAATCTTTCTTTCCTTTTTCGTCCTTTGTCTTCAATATTAGTTTGTGTTGGTTTTAACTGATCTTACCTTGAAATCTAACAAAGTTATTTAAAAAACAAGAATATTCAAGGCTTTAAAGTGATGACAGGGCATGCCAGAGGCTGATAGCAGGGCACCCACTCACACGGATATCTACAGGGAGGGGTTGAACAAGTGAAGATGAAGGCCACCCCTGCACACTCAAAGCCCTACTCTTTTTTTTAGGCGTGTCGTGTGTGCAAGACTGAAGATAAGTTCTCACCATAGCTGGTATTTTATTATCTGTGGATCGTCATTCAAAACTAAATCAAAAGAAGATAGCCAGCTGAAAGAAATTAGAGATTAGCTGTTTTTAGCAGCTGTGTGGTTTTTTTTACACTCTGGGCCAGGTGTGTGTGTGGTACACAAGTGTGGGTAAAAACACATTGCTAGATTCTCTCTTTTTTGAATGAAAGCTGAACTTTTAAAGAGTAAAATCACTGTAATTCGTCTAGCACGGTGTTTCTCCACCTTGGCAAGTTTGAGATGGGTGGACTTCAACCCCCAGAATTCCCCAGCCAGCATGGCTGGCT